TTGCCACATAGACGTGCCCACCACAGCAGAACGGCCCCGGTGCTTATCCCCTACCGACAGGAGAGCTGGCCTGCTCGCCAGCGGCAGCCCACCCGCACCCCTCCACCCCGTCCCCACGTGGGGCCGAGCGCTCGCTGCAGCACGGCCAGGGCCACTCACACGGCTGCGGGTCCGTCACGGGGCCGAGGGCAGCCTGGGCTGGTTCGGACACGACTGTCCATCCCGCTCTGTGGGTCGGAGGGGTGACTTCGTCTCCAGAGCCATCCCCGAGTGCCTCAGCGCTCCCTCCTTCCCCCCACAGCCACCGTGTTCCTGGAGCTGTGGAAGAGGCAGAGAGCCACCGTGGTCACCGACTGGGACCTGTACAGGTGGGATGAGGAAGAGGTGAGGACGGCATCTTTCCTGCTTCGTGCTTCCCTTTTCAGGGCAGTAGTCAGCTGGACCTACAGAAAAGACACGTCACAGGGACCCCCTCGCCCAGCTTGGCTCTCTGTAGATGTAAACGTCTAATGGAGACACCTAAACAAACAGCAAAGCCACCACCTGTCAGTCCTGGGAGAGTCCTGGCAGAGACAGAGCCCTCCAGAGAGTCAAGCAGATGCTAGCCACCTCTCTGCATTGCTGGTCACCTCTCCCTGCACAAGGCCTTGAACTCAATTGGGATTAGCCACGCTGTGGTGGGTCGGGTTGGGTGCTCATCCCCTATGTCCATTAACACAACGACCCCTGGACTTTCCACTACCTGGGCGCAGCAATGCCGAATCCTTTCTTTCCCATTTTCTGACTTTTTTTTTCTTTTTTTTTTTTTAAGGAGGAGCTGGCTATGGAGCTGATCAACAATTTGCAGCACGAACCCCAGCGGTACCAGCACTCCTACTTACGCAGCACCATCGTACTCCTCTTGGTTCTGTTGATGGTACGTGCCAGGGTGACCATAGGAAGATCTGGTTTAAGGGCTTTCCTCCTTCCCTCCCTACTCTGCTACAAGACCAGCACCTCGGCGTGTCCTACTGCAGGAGCAAAGGCAGAAACCAGGTTGTTAGGGCAGGTCCGTGCCCATCACAAGGATCCAGGGCCTCCCTACGCTCACACCTTGCTGTGCCTGATGGGAGAGGCCAACCACCCTCTGGGGATCTGGGCTGAAGGCTCTGCTCCCGCAGTGGAAGGCAGTGAGGATAAAAGCAGTAACGCAGAGGGCAGGAAGAGGCAAACCCTTGATGCCCTCATTTCTCCCCGGGAGCCAATGGAGAGAGTCTAGATGAGTAGTTCAGGTGGAGACATCCACCTTATGAACCTCTCAACCTTAACTGAAGAGCACTGGCTTGCATGTGAGGCCACGTCCAGATTGAGCTCTGGTGAAGGGAGCCAGGGTTTGAAGGGCTGGTGGTCCTCAGGTGGAACAGAGCACATGACCTCCATGCACGGCTTCTCACCACCCCGTTGCCCTCCTCCGCAGATTGCCGTGCTGATCGGCATCGCCCACGCGCTCGTCATTTACCGGGTGATAGCAATGGCTCTGTTCACCCAGAGCAACCTGGAGTTCCTCCGTGAGCAGGCCAACACGATGGCGGTGATAACAGGGGCCGTGCTGCACTACATCACCATTGTCATCATGACCAAGGTGCGGAGCGTGACACGGGGCAGGCAGCAGCTCTTCTCCTTGCTTTTCCACCATCAACCCTCCTCTCTCGTTTATGCCTCTCTCCTGCAGGTCAACAGGCACGTGGCCCTCTACCTCTGTGACCTGGGTAAGGGAAACTGTGCCCGCACCCTGCAGCGCCGAGCTGTACCCAGGGACTGCAGGGCAGCACCCCCTCGGTCCCCAAACGCAGCCGGGCTCCTGGCCCCTTCCCTTCCTCCACCATCACTGGGCAGCTCTTGCCACGCAGGTCCCCACGGGAGGCCAGCAGCCTTCCCACACACAAGCTCATCTGTGACCCCCAGCCACATTACGCTTTGGAGGGGCGGTCACCCTGCGGGGCTGAGACCCGGCACGAGCGGGAGGCCACCACAGCTGCCGGAGAGCTCACAACACGGTTTCCTCCCCGAGCTGAAGGGCCCCTTTTCCCCCAGCTCATGGCTCTGAGGGACCTCCCTGCTTAGCTGGGCCCAGCTCCATCAAAGGGCTCAGGGGAAGGCTCCACGAGGGGCAGAGTCACCCTTCCAACCTTCAAAGAGCTGCTGTGGCATTCAAGGGGGAGCAGGGCAAGGTCCCACCGCTCTGTGACCAAGCCCCTGGGCCTTGCTCCCTTCCCCAGAGAAACCACGGACCTTCTCCCATCGTGAGAACAACTTCACTGTGAAGATCTTCACCTTCCAGTTCTTCACACACTTCTCTTCACTCATCTACATCGCCTTTTTCCTGGGACGGTGAGTGGTGGCTGGAGGCCTGGGGGAGCACAGGGGACCCTGGGCTTGGGGCATACATCCCCAACTCTCCCCAAGGTCCTGGGACAGCCCAGTCCCTCCACCCTCCCCACCGGGCACAGAGACCTCAGTTGGGACCTCAGGAGCACCGTGACTTTTCCCCGTGGGCATGGCGGGTGGGGAAAACCCCTTGCCTCTCCACCGGTGCCCGGAGGATGATGCCCTCCATCCTGCACCTGGATGATCATCCAACGGGGGTGAGCAGTGGGGCCCAACAGATAACGCTCTTGTTGCTTCCTTGCTCAGGATCAACGGCCACCCAGGGAACTACGTGCGCATTGCCGGCAAGTGGAGGCTGGAGGAGGTGAGGGACTTGCCATGAAGCTCTCTGGCCCCACACCACATCCCTACTGCCCAGCAAGGCTCTGGGAACCTCAGCTTCCCCCCCGCGAAGTGCCTGCCTCGACCACGCAGCCCCCGAGGCCGGGCCACCCCGCTTGCAAGGCACAACTCCTCTCCTCTCGTCCCTTCGCAGTGCCACCCCAGCGGCTGCATCACTGACCTCTGCATCCAGATGGCCATCATCATGCTGCTCAAGCAGACCATCAGCAACGTGATAGAGTATCTCATCCCGTAAGCTTTCCTCCAGCCTGAGGAGCAGCTCCCTGGTGCTCCTGCGCATTCAGGACAGTTTCCCAGCTCTTACAGACCCTGGTCTTTGGGCCGAGATTTCCTCCTTTTCCTTCCCGAGGTCTCCAGGGCTGTCACTGGCAGCAGTTCAGCCTCGCTGCCCTCTGTGGGCAACCGTACAAATTGCTCCCTCCCCTTGCAGCTGGATAACCCACAAGCGACGCAAGAAGCAGCACCACCCCAAGAAGAGAAGCATGATGGTATGGGAGGAGGAGGAGGTTGAGGACCCCTGCAAAAGACAGTGGCTGAGCAACTATCATCTCAACGAGGTCAACGTCTTCAGCTTGTTTGACGAGTTCCTGGAGATGGGTACGTAAGGAAGCGGGACAAGTGAGGAGGGACGCTGGGTGCAGAGCCACACGTCCTCCTCGGCTGGAGAGAGCCTGCTGCTGAGGAGCCCACATGTAGGCGAGAGAGAGCTCTGAGACCCAGCTCCAAGAGCTGCGGCACACCAAGGAGGTTGTTCCCAAACAAGGGAGAGCAGGCAGCTGTGTTGGCCCTGGGCCTTGCTCTCCTCCCAGGAGTGTCACGGTGATGGCTGCAACCCCAGGGTGGTCCCTCTGCCTGGCTGGCTCAACCAGCACCCTGTGGGACCCCACAGACCCCCCTCCGAGCGCCCTGTGAGTGGTGGGTGCCTCCTGTGGGGTCTATCTCCCCCTTTCACCCCGCGAGACCCCTCTGACACAAGCCACAAAGCAGGACAAACCCAGGCAGTGGTCAGGACCCCGTGGGATGTCCCCTCTGCGGTGGCTTCACACCAGCACCGGGCACTGTCCTCCTCCACAGTGATCCAGTACAGCTTCACCACCATTTTCGTCGCTGCCTTCCCCCTCGCCCCGCTGCTGGCCTTCTGCAACAACCTCTTTGAGATCCGCCTGGATGCCATCAAGATGATGCGGCTGCGCCGGCGCATGGTGCCCAGGAAGGCCAACGATATCGGTGAGCTGGGGCCCAAGGAGCACCCTCCTTCCAGCACTGCTGCTTGTGCGAACGGTGCTGGCGTTAAGCCCCCTCCCCAGCGTGAAGCCCTCGAGCAGCCCCTTGCCGGGGGCTGGTATCCCTTCACCACGGAGGCAGGAGAGCACAGGGAGAGCTGCGGGTTGGGAACGAGAAGCAATTTCAGGCCCTGCAGAGGCTGAGGGGCAGCTTGGAGGTCTCCTCCTTGACCTCTTCTGGCCATGCCAAACTTGTCCGTGGGCTGGGGCTCGGCCTGCAACCCTTGCACAGCAGCAGCGAGCTGTCAGAGGGGCCTCACCGACCGCTGCTCTCCCGCAGGAATCTGGCTGCAGGTCCTGGAGGCCATCGGCATCCTGGCTGTCATCGGGAACGGACTGGTGATCGCCATCACGTCCGACTTCATTCCCATGCTGGTCTACAAGCACACGTACAGCCCCTGCGTGACGGAAA